TATATATATATATATATATATATAGATTCAGGTTCAGGTGCATTTAAGTCGTGCGGTTGTGCGAATAATTAATATGTGTGAATTTTGTACTTGATGTGCGTGAGTCTTATGCTTAATGTGCGTGAGTGTGTAATGTTTAATGTGAGTGAGTTTTGTACTTAATGTGCGTGAGTCTTGTGCATAATGTACGTGAGTTTTGTCCTTAATGTGCGTGAGTGTGTACTTAATGTGAGTTGTTGTGTGAATTGTTGTTGAAACTTTAAAGTGCATGAGTTTTATGCTTAATGTGCGTGAGTTTTGTGTTTAATGTGCATGAGTCGTGTGCTTAAGGTGCGTGAGTTTTGTACTTAATGTGCGTGAGTGTGTACTTAATGTGGGTTTTTTTAAAACTTAAGGTGTGTGTGTTTTTGTGCTTAACATGCGTGAGACTTGTGCTTAACATGCGTGAGACTTGTACTTAACATGCGTGAGGCTTGTGCTTAACATGCGTGTGGTTGTATTTTGAAGGTGTTTTGTTTGTGTGCTTAATGTGCGTGTGTTGTGTACTTTAAATGCGTCAGATTAATGCTTAACGTGCGTCCACCCGCAAAACTGCACGGGAAGCCTCAAATGCACCTGATCCCTTCCCTATATATATATATATATATATATATATATATAATATGAGAATGTGATGACTAATCTAGACCTTTAAATTAGAATGTTGCACGGCTGAGATTAAAAAGAACAAATCACACAGAGTAAAGGACAAATTTCTTTAAAATATTTGAAAATATACAGTTAGGGATAAATCAGTCTTATTAGAAGCTTTGCGTTTCTATACAAAATGGCATATATTTCTCTACCGAACGTCGTGCATCAATAACTCTCTGGTTGTGGATTCAAACACCGCCAATAAACTCCTACAATGGACATCTCCCAATGTCCTACGATGCACCACATTAAGTGCATTAATGCACATCTCACCAGCCTATGATGCATAACTCACAAAATTGGGTTGTACAACCAACACACCCGAACACAACCGTACTATCCAGACATGTGTACATATACACCAACATTTAAATATAGATAATATTATACTCAAAAGAACGAGCAAAAAAAAACAAAAAAATACTAATTGCTTTCCATGGACGAACACTCAATCGATGATAAAGAAATCGCTGCTCCAAATCACAACGGTGATGATCCATGAAAACTATTAAACAAATTTGGCCAAAGATTACCCATGCATTGAAAAAAAAAAAAGAAAAAAAAAAGAAGAAGAAGAAAAGACACTACTACTTCCACTTTAATAAAAAAAAAATAAAAAAAAAATCAATCCATATCATTTTAGGAAATCAAATCTAGCCATCCAAATTAAAAAATAAAAATAAAAAAATAAAAAAATCAACGCACAAGATTTGTCCTCACGTTCTCACATTAATAGTACATTTGGTTGGAGGCAATTTAAATTCCATTCCCACTTAATTCTCACCTAATTCCAAAGGTCACTTAATTCTTTAGTTTGGTGGGAAGGAATTGCAATTCCCTCATTTTCATGAAATTAAAATCCCAACCCACCTTGGGATTTTAATTCCATGGATTTTAGGAGGAAAAAAGATAATGATGAGACAAAATTACACATCCCCTTTTTTAACCTTAAATTGATGCCTAACAACAATGAGAATTGGATTTTATACTACTTATTCCCTTTCAATTCCCATGTATACCAAACATTGGAATTGAAATTCCCATTAATTTTATTCATGTAAACCAAACACTGAAATTTAAATTTCCACTTTATTTCCAGTAATTCATCTCCCATGAAATTGCAATTCTTTTCCCACGTAATTCCCTCCCCCAACCAAACGCCCCATAAGGATGGTTCTCATTTGAACACAACTATATATATATCATTAAAAATTGTAATTGACATATTTTAATATTGATATTTTCTTTTCAATATTTAAAATTAAATTTATTAGTACATAAAGTTATTACTTTAGGTACATAAATTTGGCTCATAAAACATTATTATAATTACATAATTTATTGTTGTATGTAGATAAATTCACTACTATTGATACCATTTGTATGTATTGAAATTGTTTATGTACCTACATTATTAATTTTATGCATATGGATTCACCGTGAAAAGTAAACCTGATTCACAATATAATTTGTCATATCATGTTTGTTGGGTTTATATGCCAACCATGTATCATAAATACAATAATATTTTTAATTGTCCTAGTATTGGCGAAGTGGATAAAATATGATTATCATATCTAAATGGTCACGTCTTTCAAACACTCTCTCAGTTGGGTTCGTCGCATATGGTCTTCCTAATATGGTTTATGTCTCCTATGTGTTTTACAATTATTACTCATGAGCAGGGTTTCTCTTGTTAAAGTGCAAACATATCTACACCATATATCTTAAGAAATCAAATTCTAAGATCTTATCATTATTAAACTTTTAAATTTTCAATAATTATAAAATGAATCATGCTTTTAAAAATAACATCACTATTTTTTTTTTACTTAACCCTCAACCATGATAAATGACTGAAATCAATCTTCACTTCTATTCTCATTCACCTCCACGAAGGCTCGAACTAACAACCTCGCATATGGGAATCCAACCCGAGTGCCATTAGATCACAAGGTCTTACCATTTGATCTTGCCCCTATATATATATATATATATATATATATATATATATATATATATATATATATATATATATATATATATAATTTCCCCCCCCCCCCAAAACTTAGGGGTATTAATGTAAATTCACATATATTCGTCAAATATGCGTGAAACTTAATAAATATTCAAAGCATTCAATATTCCGTGTGATTTGCACCACATTTTACTCCACAATTTGCTCCATGTGTTATTCTGATCATGGAAAGAATAATTTCATACGTGTGTTAATTAATATTAAAAGCATTAAATATTCAGTGTGATTTCCTAGATAATAAAATAATTTCTGATCATGGAAAGAATAATTTCATACGTGTATTAATTAATATTAAAAGCATTAAATATTCCGTGTGATTTCCTAGAGTAAAAAAATAATTAAAGAATTAAATATAGTAATAATTAAGGATTTGCTATTTAAACTCACCATTGTGCTAAACTCAAAGCTCTCACCTATAAATGTATTTCTGCTTTTGTACTTTTTTTTACACAGATTTTCAATGGCAGCTGAACATCACACTGATATTGTTGGTAATCAACTTCGTATAGGACTGCGATGGAATCACATCAAGTTTAGAGTGATTCGTGTCGTTCGTCTTCCAGAGACAAAAGGTTCTCAAACCATTAAATCTATAGAGTGTGTAGTACATGATGTTGAGATATTTTTTTTTACTGTAATATTAATATTAATAATTTGTATTTCTAAAATTTTAGTTGATGCATATGTTTTTTTTTTTTTTTTTTTTTAATTTCAGGGAACTTTTATACATATGCATATTCCACGATTGTATGTACAAAAGTGGTTCAACAAATTTAAAGAAGGCAAACTTTATCGAATGTATAGATTTGAGGTGGTTTATAATGAGTATAAAAACAAAACTTCTAATCTCAAGTATATGTTGATGTTTTGTGATAGAACTATTGTAGGAGTATTGAAAAATGCAGATTTCCCAACACATGTTTATGACCGAGAAGAGTATGATTTCGCTGAAGAGGTGATCTATTGCTTACTTACATTGTATTGTTTTATATATATATATATATATATATATATATATATATATATATATATATATATATATATATATATATATATATATATATATATATATATATATATATATAACTTTATTGACGTTTTTAAATTTTTCTAACTTTCACTATTCTCTGGATGGACAGGTGGCTGAACCTCCGGTTGGAAATTTGGATAATGAGGATTCTGCTTAAAGATGAATAACGACGAATATGTCAAGAATTTATGTTTGTTATGTTATTTGTTATTATTTTTACTCTTACAATTTATTTTGTATGAAATTTCTATTCCTACAATTTATTTTGTATGAAATTTCTATTCCGTCGATATATAAAATCAAATTGCTGAACACAGCTTATTAATTTTTAAGCCCTGTAATTCAAAATAATTACTCAATTGAATAACATCATTTTAAACATATACCATGTACAGTTTTTAAATACCATTGTTTTCAGCTTTAAATTAAGGTAATTCATTAATTAATTTAGTTTCTAATATATATTATTAAATTGAATCACGTGTAGTTATTAATACGGTAATCACCGTGTACATATTATTTTTTTTAGTAATTAGAAATTTCGAATTCTACAAAGAATCATGATTAAGGTAATCGTGTATTGAAAAGTGTGGTTTTTAATTAAGGTAAGAGGCAGCAGGGATGTACTAAAAAGACTCATGATTACCATGTACATTGTTATATATATAACCACTTCGGCCGTTTATGTATATATGCTACATCTCTAGGTCAGAGTTTCTTATCAAATCAGTACACAAATACAATACTCCGATACACAATACTGCATTCTACGGTTGGATTCCCATGGACTCTAATCAGCTTTCTGCATCCGATCTTTCTCTTAGAACTACAAAAAACATCTATATGCCTTAGTTTAATGCGGTGCTATTTTTCTAGAGAATATGAACGCACGCCAGTGAACCACCAAACTTTGGAATGTTTATTCCATGATTATGAGGTATGTATTGAATTTATAATTTATTTACACTATAGTTTTCTCTTTTAGGAAAAATCTATTTATCAATTGTAATTAATCAATGCTTCCCGTAGGGAATATGCATACATCTACAAATTCCAAAAGAATATGTGGACAAATTTGCTACTATTTTGATTGAAGGGAAAGTGTATGTCATTCAAAATTTCAGTGCATATACATCTCGCTTGAGGTTTAAGACGTGCCAACACAAATTCATTATGAGAGCAAGCAGTGACGCAATCATTAAAGTCTCGGATCAACGTGATTCAATTTTTCCTAAAAACATGTTTAAATTTAAGGACTTTGGGTCCTTGAAGGCTCCAGGGGGTGTTGATTGTAACGAATTAATTGGTAAGACCATTGCCATAACTTTTATACATATTGTTATTTTTATTACTCTTTCATATTACTCTATGTCGTTTCTTTTTTCAATCTTCCGATTATATTTGTTTCCACAGATTTGATTGGTCGTGTAGTTTCGATTTATGAGCCTAAAGTTATTCAAGTACAGCAAAAACCTAAAAGGTTGATTGATTTCGTCATTGAGGATTCTAGGTATGTATTTTTGTATAATTGTTATGTCTTCTTTATTTGTAGAAATAAATATATACCCTTCAATACGAAATCAATTTCTGTTAATTCAGGGAAAGTCGATTGAGCATAACCCTGTGGGACGAGCATGTGGATTCAGTGTTGCCATTTTATGATGTTGTTATAACAGATCCATTGATTGTTATACTACAACTATGTAGAGCAAGGTTGACTGATGGTGAGTAATAACACAACAGTAGATTTTAATTTTTTTTAGTGAAATATACGTATTTAATGTGAAATATTTTTAATTATTTAATTTATAGATGGTGAGGTCAAGATTTCCAGTTCCTATACGGCAACTAAAATTTTGTTCAATTACGAATGCCTTGAGTTTTCCAGTTTTAAGGAGAGGTATTGACACATTTCACTTTTGTAACACAATATAATATGTAATCGATAACATCTTCAACGATTACAACATATTTGTTTTAAATAGTTTGCCTAGGTTCTTTACTCCATTGCGGAGTATAAGTTCAAGTTCTAGACTCATTGAAAGCGGTTCAGTTGGAGCTATGTCGATTGAGAATATCACAGTTAGTTCTTTAAAGGATGTTCATGACGAAAATAAGGTCATAATCATTTATACTAAATTTTTAAATGATTACTTTCAACGTTCAACAGATGATTTGACGTGCTTGAAAAAAATTGTGCAGGTTGGACAATTTTGGGTATTTGGAGAAATTCGTGATATTAAGCATGATTGATATTTCACTTCATGTAGGAATAAGAACTATGGGAAGAAACTTCAACAATGTGAGGACAAAATGTATTGTACCCCATGTAACAAACAGTGGTCCAATGGAATCATCAAATATAAATTGATGATTAACATCATCAATGAGGATGAAGATGGTGAACTAATACTTTGGGATAATGTGTGTACGCTTCTACTAGGAGCCAGTTCTAGCGAGTTGAAGGTCAAATATTCTAAGGTTATTGAAATCTCCACTTTGTTTTTTACAATGGTATTAATTTTAGAAGTTTTATAATTTCTACTTTAATGTTTATTTGATTCACATAGGAGGGTTGTATGCCCAATGAGATTCAAGAATTGATTGGAAAGACAATGAAATTCAAGATAGTCACACGACATGATCAATTCAAATATGGTGGAAATGTTGCTTTTACTGTTCTAGGAGTGGAAAATGATGAGAGAGTATGTACTTCAGTTAATAAAGGAGAACAAGGAAGTGTGGTTAGAAAGCTTGCTGATGAAAAAGAGTTCAAAGACAGCAGTGAACAAGTTTGTACTATCTTTAACATATTTTTATACAGTGTTTTAAATGTTTTTAATGCTAATGTTTTTAATTGTTTTCCACCAAGGGATTGAACCACTGCAAGTTATATCATTGTCTAATCTAGAATTGATTTCTCTTGATGAAACCACTCCTGAGCAGCAGTCTTTGAAGAGAATAAATATGGATTGTTCATCATCTTCAAAGAATTTAAAGAAGCCTAAGAATGAACCAAATTCATGATACTCTATGTTGATTTGCTGTTGTCTAATCATAAACAATATAAATTTTTATCTGCTCATTTTAGTTGGTGATTTGTTTAGTTTTTAATATGCTTCATGCTAAACAGATAGTTTATTCTGTTAGCTTTTAGTTGGTGATTATTGTTTTCAAAGTCAACTGTGCCTGTATGGCAAAGTAGTTTTTATTTCAGACTACATTATGATTCTTACTTTTTACACTTTGTTCTTCTAATACTATTCGTGAACAAAGCTATATTACCATGGAACAGAGATAACATAACAACTTACCTTTTACTTATGAGGTGTCTTTCATGATCCAGATTGCAGGTTCATATCCATGAAAGTGTACACCAAGAACCGTGAGCTTGCTGAAAACAATGGCATATAATTTAAAAGCTGAAAACAATGATATATCATCAAGAACGAATGTAAGGAATTTAAAATACCGATTTGGAACATTTTGTATGTGAAAACAACAGATATGGTAATTTTTTTGAACTCACAATTCTTAGTAACTTTCATTTTTATTAATTCACAAATATTTTATGTTCATCTTCATTAAATATTAACTAGTTATATAATTAGATTCCTATTTGGACCTTGGAGATGCTTCTCATTCCTGTAATTATTGTGGTGCCTTATTCTGGCGACATGAGCGCTCAAATCAAAATGTTACGCGAGGATTGCCGAAATACTCAAAATGTTGCTACGAGGGCAAGATACAATTACCTTGCATGAAGGAACCTCCTCCTGTTCTCCAGAGCCTATACTTTGACGATAATGAACAGAGCAGACACTTCCTCAACAATATTCGAAGATATAATAACATGTTCTGCTTCACATCTCTAGGAGGTAGAGTCGATAGGTTAATCAACACCAGTAACTGCCCACCGATTTTTAAGATAAGTGGTCAAAATTATCATTGGATTGAAAGCTTGGTTCCAGGAGAAGGTCCATGCCAAAGTTTGCACAGTTATATATTTACGACACAGATAATGAGATAAAATATCGCATCAATTCTGTTATGTAAGTATCCAAATACATTATACATTTCGTTTCGCTTACACTAACAATGACATATATTGTTTATTTACATATGTTTGTTTCCTATGCAGAAGATATGTTAACTCAGGGGATATCCACGAAAATATTGTTGAGGAATTAAAGAACATGCTGGACGAAAATAATGTTTTGGTAAAATGTTTCAGAATGGCAAGAACTGAAATTCAGTCTAATCCAATTGTTGAGGTTAAAATGAATTTAATCGGCAGGTGGAATACAAATGGAAGGACATACAATTTACCTACCGCTAATGAGGTCGCAGCACTTATTGTCGGGGACCTTGACACATCGATAGGTGATCGGGACATATTGATTGAGAGCCAGACTGGACAGTTGAAGAGAATAAACCATTTGAACCCTGCATATTTGCCCTTACAATACCCTTTGTTGTTCCCATATGGTGAAGATGGTTATTATGAAGATATTACATTTTCTAGTGCATGGAGCCAAGGACATCATGGTGGTAGGAAAAGAATTAGCCCTAAAGAGTATTTCTCATTCTATATACATGAGAAGGTAAATGAGAAGCATACATTGTTATATTCTAGGAGGTTATTTCAACAATACTTGGCTGATGCATATACAATGATCGAACATGCACGTTTGGTCTACATTAGAACTCATCAGAAGGCGTTGCGTTGTGAAGCTTATCAGGGGTTGAGCGATGCATTAACAAGGGACGAATTAGATTCCACAACTCGGGGTAAAAGAATTATACTACCATCATCATTCACGGGCGGAGCTAGGTATATGATTCAAAACTATCAAGATGCAATGGCAATATGTAGGCACATTGGTTATCCTCATCTATTCATACCATTCACATGCAACCCGAAGTGGCCTGAGATTGAGCGCTATGTTGCACAACGTGGGCTTAAAGCAGAGGATAGACCCGATATTGTTTGTCGCGTGTTTAAGATGAAACTTGATGCTATGATTGAAGAGATCAAGACAGAAAAACTGTTTGGCGACATCTGTGGAGGTATTTGATTATCATAAATACTTTAATGTGTCGTAATTAAATCTAAATTCTATGTATAATTTTTTTTTTAATTTTTATTTTATGCACAGTTATCTACACAATTGAATTTCAGAAAAGAGGACCCCCTCACTCGCACATATTGCTATTTGCCAAAAGAATGAATCAGGCACATTCTGCACCGAAAATTGATGCCTTGATTTCTGTTGAGATTCCAGACCCAGATGCTGACAATGAGTACATTGACGCAGTTAGCGAATTTATGTTGCACGGACCGTGCGGACAACTTCGAAAGAATTCCCCATGCATGGTAAATGGTAAATGTTCAAAGTATTTTCCCAAAAAATATGTTAGCCAGACGATTCTAGATAAAGATGGTTACCCAATCTACAGAAGGCGTGACAATGGATGCACAATCAGTAGGAATGGAATCCAACTTGATAACTGTTACGTTGTCCCGCATAATCAACATCTGCTTCTAAAATATCGCGCACATATTAACGTTGAATGGTGCAACCAGTCAAGATCGATCAAATATTTATTCAAATACGTCAATAAAGGAAATGATCGAGTCACGACAGAGTTCATGAGTACTTCTGTGAATGCAGTCAATGGTGATGTGGTTGATGAGATTAGCATGTACTACGATTGTCGCTATATATCCGCATGTGAAGCCACCTGGCGACTGTTTGGGTACGTGATCCATTATCGCACGCCACCTGTCAAGATGCTAAATTTCCACTTAAAGCACCAACAGAATGTTGTGTATGGGGAAGATCAAAGCCTCGACGAGATTGTTGAGAGCCAAACGGTTAAGCAGAGCCAGTTCACAACTTGGTTTGAGGCAAACAAAAAATACGAAGATGCTCAATCGCTCACTTATGCAGAGTTCCCCAGTAAGTTTGTTTGGAGACAAGACTTGCGTGAATGGCATCAAAGAAAGAAAGGATTCTCCATAGGACGATTCTTCTATGTTCCTCCAGGCTATGGAGAATTATACTATCTAAAATGCCTTTTAAATATCATACGTGGACCTTCAAGTCACGAGGATATTCGCACTGTTGGGTGGGTCATTCACAAATCATTTAGGGATGCGTGTTATGAGTATAGATTATTAGATGATGACAAGGAGTACATCGACGGTATTACTGAATCCAGTTACTGGGCATCCTCGTCTGCATTGCGAAGGTTGTTTGCTACGTTGCTCACTTCAAGTTCAATCACTAGACCCGAGGTGGTGTGGAATGCCGTCTGGCAATTTCTTGCAGAGGATGCACAGTTTCATCGTCGAAGGCTCATGCACAATCCAGGTACATCAACATGCAATCTCTTTATTCGACATTATTATTTGCTTTTCATGATTTATACAAAAACCAATTTTTTGAATATGTTTTCGCTTTGTTTCTAAACTATGTAGATTTGTTGCTATTGGAATACGATAAACAACAATTTGCTCTGGTCAAGTTAGACAAGTTACTGCCTTTGTGGGGGAAGAGCCTGAGCTACTATCCAGAAATGCTGATTCCAGAACAAAACAGCATTGGAATGACGGAAAACATGTTGATATCCGAAGAGTTGGTGTACGACAAAGAATCATTGAAAGCAGAGCATGAAACATTGGTAACTCAATTGACGGACGAACAGAAAGTTGTTTACGACTCTGTTATTAATGATATTGATTCTAATGGAGGGGGATTGTTTTTTGTGTATGGTTACGAAGGAACAGGCAAGATGTTCGTGTGGAGAACATTATCTTCAAAGATAAGGAGCCGCTGAGATATTGTTCTAAACGTTGCTTCAAGTGGAATAGCATTTTTGCTATTGCCGGGTGGCAAGAAGGCGCATTCTCGATTTGCTATACCACTCTCAGTGAATGAAGATTCCACCTGCAATATCTCGCAAGGCAGTGACCTTTGCGAACTTATAATCATGAACAAATTGATAATATGGGATGAAGCACTGATGACACACAAATACTGTTTTGAGGTTTTAGACAAAACCATGAGGGATATATTGCGATTCACCATACTTGGGAGTGATCAGAAAACAGTTTGTGGAAAGACAGTAGTATTGGGCGGTGATTTTAGATAGATTCTTCCAGTTATTCCAAAAGGAACGAGACCAATGGTTGTGGGAGCCACTATTAATTCTTCATATCTCTGGAGGAATTGCAAGGTATTAAGGCTCACGAAGAACCTGAGACTACAGAGCTTAGCTTCAAACAAAGATAGACAAACTGTTGATTGGTTCTCAAGATGGATTGCAGACAGAGATGGGATTACAGGGTTTGTAAACAACGGTTTGTTTGAAATCGATATTCTACCAAGGTTTATGTTGAAGTGTGGCACTAATCCAATTGCAACTATAGTTGAAAGCATCTTCCCAACCGCGAATTATGGAATGCTAGAAGAGTCGCACCTAGAAGGACGAGCAATACTCTCACCCACTTTAGATGTTGTTGATCAGATTAATCAGTATATGTGTGACATGAACACTGCTGAAGGTCGGACGTATTTAAGCTGTGACTCTTTGTGTAAGGCAGAATCAGATGATGATAATCTCTCACAAGTACACACTCCTGAATTTTTAAATGGCTTGAGATTGTCTGGACTTCCTAATCATTCATTGACAATAAAGGTTGGGGCACCTGTTATGTTACTGCGGAACATAGAACACTCTCTTGGTCTTTGTAACGGTATGCGCCTCATCGTTACAAGATTGGCGGATCATATTGTCGAAGCAAGAATAGTTAATGGAACGCAGCAAGGAACCAAAGTTCTTATACCACGAATTTCTTTCACCCCTTCTGATACGAGATTGCAGTTCAAGTTCCAACGTAAACAATTCCCGTTGATGCTCGCATATGCAATGACTATCAACAAAAGCCAGGGTCAAACACTAACTCATGTCGGCTTATTGTTGAAAAAAACCAGTCTTTAATCACGGTCAATTGTACGTGGCTTTTTCCCGAGTCACTCATCCTGATGGCCTTAAGGTTTTAGCTCTAGACGAGGATGGACAAACTTCTGTTACTACTACTAATGTCGTCTACAAATAGGTTTTCAACAATGTGTAATTCGAAACAGCTATATTATCTATTCTGCGTGCACCAATATAATAAAATTGTTACATATCTACATATTACGTATATATTTCATTACAAAAATTTCTATAACTAAATTACTACACATAAAGATAATGAGATCAATTAATTCAATTTCGAAACACTCATACAAACCTTAATTCAACGTAAAAATTACACTATCGAATATGAAGCAAATTATAATTCATATATTATAACAAATATATTTCGTGCATCGTACGAGTGCAAATACTAGTAAAATTAAATAAACATTTTATAATTTGAATGCTCAACCTATTTTCGCAAATTATGTTGTGGACTCGTGTCCACAATGCATTGTGGACACGAGTCCAAAACAACGTCGTTTTAAGGGAAAACGCGGTCTTCTAGTTAAAAAAAAAATTTAATTTTGTCACGCCGTTAATGGCGTTAACGGCGTTATTCGTTTGTGACATTATGAATGTACAGTTATGGAATTATGAATGTATAGTTATGGGAATTATGAATGTACAGTTATGGAATTATGAATGTAAGTCATGGAATTATGAACACAGAGCTCTGACATTATGAACTTACAATTATGAACATATAGTGATAAATTATGAACATAGAGCTCTAAAATTGTGAACATAGAGTTTCGAAAATTATGAATTTACAATTATTGAATTATGAATATACAGTTACAGAATTATGAATGTACAGTTATGCAATTATGAATGTACAGCTATGGAATTATGAACACAGAGCTCTGACATTATGAATTTACAATTATGAACATATAGTAATAAAATTATAAACATATGCTCTTATAACAAAGTGGTCTGAAATTTAAAAAATAAATAAATAAAAAATAAAGTGGAAAATAACAATACCATTAACAACATCGTTACCGTGTCCATATTGTATGCTGGACACGGGTCCATAGCATAACGATTGACCTATTTTGTAGCCGAAGAAAATGAATATTGGGCCATAAATGTTTTAAGAATTGGCCCATAAACAAATAATTCCGATGTTGGAATCCAATTGTTATACCATAGACTCAATAGTTATGCTGTGCAACCGTGTGCACCATGCATGGTGCACACAATTGCAAAACGACGTCGTTTTGATTAAAAACGCGCGTCTCATTTAAAAAATATATATATTAGTTTCGATTCCCCTCAACAGCATTTTTGTGGATATATAGTTATGAATTATTGTGGATATATAGTTATGAATTTGTGGATATTTAGTTCATTCATTGTGGATATTTAGTTCATTCATTGTGGATATTTAGTTCATTCATTCTGGGTTTTGTGTTATTCATTCACTGTGGATATATAGTTATGAATTTGTGAATATATAGTTATGAATTTGTGGATATATAGTTATGAATTTGTGGATATATAATTCAAATTATGCACAAAAAAATGCTATTGCCGGGAATCGAACCTGAATTTTTTTTTTTAAAGTGGAACGCGCGTTTTTAGTCAAAACAACGTCGTTTTTGCAACCGTGTGCACCATGGTGCACACGGTTGCACAGCATAATTTGCGCCATAGACTATGGTGACCGTTACATGGAAAACTATTGACATACATATTTATTTTTACTGGATTATATGTTTTTTTTTTAGTAAAATTGTTACATTTTGATACATGTTTATTTTTAATATACTGTAATTTCATTACTATCAAAAAATACAATTGTTATACCATGGACAATGATTTATCTTGTATTGTGGACCATAATCTAAAAAGTATGGTACTTGTAGACTTGTAGTTAACATATTATGTACCTTCAATTAATAAATTATGTGCTTACTACAATTAACATATTATGTATATCTAGTTAACATTTTATGTGTCTGCAGTTAACATATTATGCATGTGTCTATAGTTAACATATTATGTGTATTCACTTTATTTACAGACACATAATTTGTTAACTGTGGACATATAAAATATTAACTGAAAGTATATAGTGTTAGGTAGAGTTGTCAAAACAGTCTTCGCAAATTATGCAATGGACTCGTGTACACGAGTCTAAAACGACGTCGTTTTCAGGGAAAACGCGTCATTTCAGTTAAAAAAAAAAATTTAATTTTGTCTCGCCGTTAACGACATTATTCGTTTGTGCCATTATGAATGTACAGTTATGGGATTATGAATGTACAGTTATGGAATTATGAATATAAGTTATAAAATTATGAACACAGAGCTCTGACATTATGAACTTACAATTATGAACATATAGTGATAAAATTATGAACATAGAGCTCTAAAATTGTGAACATCGAGCTTTGAAAATTATGATTTTACAGTTATTGAATTATGAATGTACAGTTACGGAATTATGAATGTACAGTTATGCAATTATGAATGTACAGTTATGCAATTATGAATGTACAGTTATGAAATTATGAACACAGAGCTCTGACATTATAAACTTACAATATGAACATATAGTGATAAAATTATGAACATAGAGCTCTAAAATTGTGAACATAGAGTTTTGAAAATTATGAAGTTACAGTTATTGAATTATGAATGTACAGTTACGGAATTATGAATGTACAGTTATGGAAGTATGAATGTATAGTTATGGAATTATGAACATAGAGCTCTGACATTATGAACTTACAATTATGAACATATAGTAATAAAATTATGAACATATACTCCTATAACGAAGCGGTCTGAAATTTAAAAAAATAAATAAATAATAAATAAAAGGAGAGAAAAGGAGATAACAGTGCCTAACGGCACTGTTACCCGTATCCAGCATGCAGGCTGGACACGGGTCCATAGCATAACGATTGAACAGTCTTAGCTCGTAAGGTTAACCCATCAGGCTTTGAGATTGTAGACTCATTTTAATGGCAGGCATGACGAGGAGGGCTTTGAAGGATGACGGTGGCCCGTCAAAGTACTAAATTAAAAAAATTATTAAAATTAACAAATGTTACAAATTTACAAAATAAAAACCCTAATATAATTTCTCAATTTCCTTATCTTTAGACAATCTTTATTTAAAATTTAAAGTTTAAGCCTAAAATGATTTTAGTATTTACATATTTTTTTACAAGTAACAAAGATGAGATTATGGATAACCAATTCAATTAACCGTAAACAAAGAATTACAGTCCTATATACAAAGCTCCTATTCTATAGGCTAACATTAATAAGACTAAGTCTCTACCACAGATATAGAATATATAGTATAATAAATAAATACAATTATTTATATTACTAACACACCCCCTCAAGCACAAGGTTGGAGGGTGACAACATTGAGCTTGTCTCGAAGAAGTTGAAAACGCGGTCCTGGTAAGGGCTTGGTGAAGATGTCAGCTAGCTGCTCCTTTGTGGAAACAAAACTGACAATAAAATCCCCAGATGCGACCTTGTCTCGAACAAAGTGATAATCGATCTCAACATGCTTCGTCCGAGCGTGAAAAACTGGATTGACAGCCAAGTATGTGGCCCCGAGATTGTCGCACCATAGTGTTGTCGGCTTGCCCGAGTGGAGTCCAAGTTCACGAAGCAAAGAGACAACCCATGTGACCTCAGCTGCAACGTCTGCCAGGCCCTTGTACTCAGCTTCAGTCGATGATCTTGCCACTGTACGCTGCTTGCGGGACACCCAAGAAACCAGGTTGTCCCCGAGAAAGACCGCATACCCGCTGGTGGACTTCCGACCAATCGGGCAGCTAGCCCAGTCGGAGTCGGAGTAAGCGTGCAAATCAGACGTTGTCGACGGACGAAGGCGTAGACCGTAGTCCTGCGTCCCCTTGATATAGCGAAGAACCCTCTTAAGAAGACTCCAATGATTATCTGTGGGAGAATGCATGAACTGACACAATCTGTTAACTGAAAAAGCCTGATCGGGACGAGTAATGGTGAGGTACTGTAAAGCCCCAACTATACGGCGGTACTGCGTGGGATTCTCAAAAGGATCGGAAGAAGGAGTAGTCGGTTGTGTTACCGAAGCCGGTGTTGCCAAGGCTTTGCAATCTGTCATGCCCGAGCGAGATAGGATATCCTGCATATACTGGCACTGAGAGAGAAGAAAGCTATCACCAATTGCGAGAGTCTCGATCCCTAAGAAGAAGCTTGGCGTTCCCAAATCCCGGATCTTGAAAGTCGTGGCTAAGCGGTGTAGTAAGTTGGTAACCAAGCTCGTATCATTCCCCATCATTATAATGTCGTCGACGTAGACTAGTAAAAAGACGCGCGAATCTCCCGAAGTGTAATGGAATAGTGAGACGTCTGTTTTGGATGCCAAGAACCCTGTGGATATCAAAAAATCATGAAGTCTCTTAAACCACGCACGTGGTGCTTGTTTTAGTCCGTAAAGGGACCGTTGAAGATGACAAACATGATTCGGTCTAGCTGGATCTTCATAGCCTGGTGGATGCTTCATATATACGGTTTCAGCAAGATGTCCATTTAAGAATGTGTTGTGAACATCCAGCTGCCGTAGAGTCCACCTGTTAGAAACAACAAGAGAAAAGAGTATGCGAACGGTGGTTAGTTTGACCACCGGACTGAAAGTGTTAAAGAAATCTTCCCCTGCAACCTGGTTGAACCCTTTGCCTACTAGTCGCGCCTTATAGCGCTCCACTGAACCATCGGCTTTGCGTTTGGTGCGAAAGACCCATTTGCAGCCAATGATGTTCATTTGCGGTGTAGCCGGAGTGAGTTCCCAGGTGTTGTTATGCAAAAGGGCATTGAATTCCTGATCCATGGCATCCCGCCACTGAGGATGCCCTACGGCCTGAGAGTAGCAGGTTGGATCAGTAGTCGCGGTAAGAGCTAAGAACTCTTCATCACGGCCTTGTGTCTTGTGCCGAGTCCGCATAGTATGCGGGACGTGAGGCTTGCCCCGTCCACGGCCCCTATGGGCCGTAGCAGGTGGTCTCGTGGTGACACGAGTTTCTGGTGAAGCTGTTATGGCTGGTGGCTCCAGTTCTGGTGCCATAGGTAGCTCCATGGCTAGGGGTGTTAACTGAGTAGCTATTACAACTGGCCCCGCTCCCCAGGGTGTTGTAGTGGAACTCACTGCAGTTTGAACAGGTGCCTGTAGAGCAAATGGGAAAACGGACTCATCAAACCGAACATGGCGGCAGATAAAGATCTTTCCCGATATAGGATCCATACACCGATATCCCCTAAAAGAGACAGGGTAACCTAGGAAGACACAGGGTGTCGACCGATACTCTATCTTGTGCCGATTGTAAGGCCGAAGATATGGGTAACAGCGACACCCGAAAACACGAAAAAAAGTCTACGGAGGTTGTGTTTTATAGACACGATAATGAGGACTTTCGTAGTTTATAGCAAAAGATGGTAGACAATTAATTAAATAGGTGGCTGTTTCGAAGGCATAACCCCAATATATTTGTGGGGTTGAGCTTTCAGCTAGAAGTGCCAAGCCGGTTTCGACTATGTGTCTGTTCCGGCGTTCGACACGGCCATTTTGTTCGTGGGTATAGGCACACGATTGTCTGTGTGTAATGCCTAAATTTTCGAAGAGTTTATGAAGGCGTCGGTACTCACCTCCTAAATCAGACTGTATGGCTTTGATAGAACGCGAAAAACGTCGTTCGACCATCACCCGGAACACATCAAATATTTTATATATATCTGATTTTAATCGTAATGGGTAAAACCAGCAATAACGCGAGTGGTCATCTACAAACAATACGAAATAACGAGCGCCAGTAGCACTAATTACAGGAGACGGACCCCAGATGTCCGTATATAACAAGTCTAAAATATTATTGCTAGTACTAGAAACCCTATCTAAGGGAAAGCGAGCTGATTTCCCGAGTTGACACGCGGTACACAATTTTGACGAACTGGCTTTATTTGTAGTGACGGGACAGTGTTTTAAGGCGTGTTGTAGAGCTTGATTATGGGGATGACCTAGACGTTGATGCCACACCTCGGAGGATGCTCGAGCGGTAAGAAAGGCACACGGAGATGGTGGGACCAATAACTTGTATAGGCCGCCGGAGGTGAAACCTTTAAGAAGAACCGCCCGAGTGTTGCAATCCTTCACAAGAAACAAATTTTTGTGAAATTCAAAATAAACGTCGTTATCGTTAGTAAATCGATAAACGGACAATAACGGTAGTGTTAAATTTGGAACATGCAGTATTTGTGACATTGACAAACTTTTAGACTGAGATGGGATTACGGTATGGCCTACACGGGAAACACCCAAACCTGTACCATTTCCAATTTTTAGAACGTCACCACCAGTATAGGCTTCAGAGTGTCCCATCATCTGTTCGTCTGGAGTTGCGTGGGATGTTGCCCCGGTATTCGGGTACCACACATCGGGTGTCACATGGCCCGAATTCTCGCCAGAGACCGCTACGTTAGCGTGACCAGCAGGACGGTCATTGTACCGTTTGTTGCAGTACAAAGCCGTGTGTCCATGTGCTCTGCAGATCTGACATCTCGGACCGCCACCCCGGCCTTGCCGGCCTTGATTGCCCCGGCCGCGATTTTGCCAGCCACCACGACCGCCGGAGTGACGCCCATGCGTCTGATCACCGCCATGCCGGCCTCGTCCAACGTAGAACACCGCCGGAGAGCCACTGCCAGCCGCATGATCTGCAACAGAAAAATCATCCTCATGGATGAATTCTTACGCCTGGAGGAAGTCAGAGAGCTGCGCCAACGAGACTGGCGCTCTAGTCGCGGTGAGAGAGTTTGCCATCGTACGGAACTCCGGTCTGAGCCCCCGGAGAACGTACAAGATCTATTCGTTCGGCGAGAGAGGCCTGCCGGCGAGGGATAGCGCCTCAGCGATCATCTGGCACTTCCCTAAGTATTCGGCCGGAGAACCAGGGCCTTGGCGGAGGGTCTGAAACTGCCCGAGCAGGCTCAAGCATCGCGCACGGGTGGAGGAGGCGCATGTCGATGCGATCGCATCCCAGACCTCCCGAGATGTCTGTTTTCCGACCGCGAGGTGCATAACCTCGTCAGATAAGGATGAGACGATGGTGGAGAGGATCGCCTGGTCCTGCTGGATCCAAGCCTCATACGCCGGGTTTGCAGCGGTAATGGTTGTCGTGGTGGAATCGCCGGCAGTGGAGGAGACAACGACAGTCGCCGGTGGACACGGGATTCAGCCATCGATGTAGCCTAACAATCCTTGGCCTCGGAGGAACGGCACCAATTGGGTGCGCCAGAAGAGATAGTACCTCATTGTCAGCCGTGTGGAGACAAAGTGATGAGCCGCCGTAAGGGAGTTGACGGCCACCGGAGGAACGCCGGCGGTGGTGGCGACGGTCCGTTCACTGGAGGAGGAAGTCATGCGTTTGTTACGGGAAAAGTGTATGGTGAACGAAAAAAAAAAGAGAGGATCGAACCTTCGGCTCTTGATACCAGATGAGATTATGGATAACCAATTCAATTAACCGTAGACAAAGAATTACAGTCCTATATACAAAGCTCCTATTCTATAGGATAACATTAATAAGACTAAGTCTCTACCACAGATATAGACTATATAGTATAATAAATAAATACAATTATTTATATTACTAACAACAAATTTAAAAAAATTACAAAGTTAATATTTTGGTGGGGCCCACCATAATCTTATGAGCCTAAGGCGGGTTGCCTTCCTTAAGTTGCAAATTATGCTGTGCAACCGTGTGCATCATGTATGGTGCACATGGTTGCAAAAACGACGTCGTTTTGACTAAACACGCACGTTCCACTTTAAAAATAAAAAAAAAAAATCAGGTTCAATTTTTGACAATAGCATTTTTTTTTTTGCATAATTTGAATTATATATCCACAAGTTCATAACTATATATCCACAAGTTCATAACTATATATCCACAGTGAATGAATAAAACAAAATCCAGAATGGATGAACTAAATATCCACAATGAATGAACTAAACATCCACAATGAATGAACTAAATATCCATAAATTCATAACTATATATCCATAAATGCATAATTATATATCCACAAATTCATAACTATATCCACAATAATTCATAACTATATATCCACAATAATGCTGTTGAGGGAAATCGAAACTGAATTTTTTTTTTATAAAATGGGACGTGCGTTTTTAGTCAAAATGACGTCGTTTTATAACCGTGTGCACCATGCATGGTGCACACGGTTGCACAACCTAACTATTGCCCTTATGCCTATATTATTTGTGGGCTTTTTAGCCCCTCCCTCTGGCCTTCTTTAACAACTATCTACTATACTAATAAGAGCCCAAGAGAGTTAGGCCTATAATGGGTAGAAAAAATGGCGGTCAAATTTTTTAATCAAATGAATGGCTCAGATTGATTAGATTTTAATTTTTTCTTGAGATTTCTTAATTTATCCTTAATGAATATGATTATCCGTTAATTTTTCCGTTAAATATTATCTTTTCCGTTAATTTCTGTTAGTTCACCGTTAACTTACTCATTAATTTCAATAAGAAAATGTCTTAGGTTCGAACCACATCCCAATCAAAGTTGGCATAATTAGTACTCTATGTTACTCTTATTAACTTAAATAATAATTTAGTAGCTACAACAAAAAATAATACATATGCATTTCTTTAATTTAGAATTATGTGTCTACAATGTCTTTATTAAAAAAAATTATTCATTATCAATAAATTAAATAAGAGAAATAATTTCATTAGTTATATTGTCTTTATTTTTCTCCAATATAAAAATTCTTTACATTCAAAATTCAAATCCATCAATTGATAATATTCGCTACATTGTCCCTACAATGTCTTTATTAAAAAAAATTATTCATTATCAATAAATTAATTAAGAGAAAAAATTTCATTAGTTATATTGTCTTTATTTTTCTTCAATGTAAAAATTCTTTACATTCAAATTCATCAATTGATTATATTCACTACATTGTCTGTTATCTTTTTTGTGCACTATTTTTAATTAAATATCAAAGTTATAATACAAAATAATGCTATATATTTATTTACCAAGTATTTTATTAATACCATGAAAAAATTTAAAAATTTAAATTAATAAAGCCAATTATATTAACTACTTGAGGGATTTGTTGACAAAGAGAGTATTCAAATCACACGACAAATTGAAGTGAGAAATTACTTCGCAATGTCCTTGTTTGACAATCAGCAGTTAGCAGTTAGCGTTAGCAGATTATATTAGCGGATTTGACCAGCGAATTATATCAACGGTTGGTAAAAAGATTTTTGAAAAAATTAGCTGTTTAAAATAACATTTAAAATGACATAAGGGTATAATAATAATAATAATAATAATAATAATAATAATAATAATAATAATAATAATAATAATAATAATAATAATAATAATAATAATAATAATAATAATAATAATAATAATAATAATAATAATAATAATAATAATAATAATAATAATAATAATAATAATAACAATAATTGTTTTAATAATAATTTTTTAAAATATAGATGTGTTTTGGGGAAATAATTTTCAAAAACGTTAAGTGAAAATATTGTAAATTGCAATGTTGAATTTTCAGCGGTTTGGAACAAATTGTTGCTTCAAACTGTTGAATAACCAAAACACTTTTTTTAGCATTTTGATATTTGGGTTGCATCATATTTACAATCGTCCAATATCTTTGGGTTACATTATAATTAAAATTTTTAAATTTTTACTAGATCAAAATTCCTTAAATTAGGAATTTCTTTATCCGGTCCATAATAATTTATTCAACAATAATGGTTGAACTAAATGAACACTGAGCAAAACACCTAAAGGACTGGTACCGTTGATTCATTCATTGATCTTGTATATATGTGCATTCATTAAATATATTAGAACCCTTTGCAACAAAAATATTTGGTTACTATTTAAAAAAAATTTAGTAACAATTATAATGAATCTCCTATATTACATTGTATTCATATACTATGAATTACATATTTAAATAAACAAATTAGACATTAAATTACTTATGTTGAACTTCTCATATATAATCTTGCATTTATATACTTTCAAATATTTATTTAATTATAAACATTGGGTAGAAAAAATTACCGTCAACAAATGAATAGTTCAGATTGTTCATATTTTAATTTATCCTTAATTATATGATTATCCGATCGGTTAACTTTTCGATTAAGTACCGTTAATTCACCGTTAGTCTAATATAGAATTATAACTACAACATTAATCTAATTCTAATATTAAAGTCTTAATAGAACTCTAACCACCGGAATCTCCTCAAACAATATTAGTATATATTTAATATTTTATGCTTTAACTTTTATTTGCTCTCCTTTATGTCCCGTATTTGGTTTCAACCCTACCCATACAATTATTTTATTGACAATTATAATCAATTTTGACTATATTATCTTGCATTTGTAAACTTAGAATTACCAATTTAAATACGCAAATTCAACATTCAATTATCAATGCATGAACAATTCTAATATAATCTTGTCTTGATATACTTTAAAATACTTATTTAAGAAAAACATTGGGCATTATTCCAATCGCGCAATGCGCGTAAAAAAACTAGTACATAATATAAATGTTATTTTAGACCGGAGTTCACAATGCAAAATGGATCCTGATCCAAGGTATAATTTTTCCTAAGAATGAATCTGTAAAATATTAAAAGTGATCGTATATCATGATTTGTCGTCGGAATTAAATTGGGCCCTAATGTTTTAAGAGTTGGCCCATAAACAAGTGATAGACAAATTATATCGTGTACCGTGGTGCATAATTGATTATACACCGCGTATCAAAATGACGTTGTTTTATTTAATGAAAAGAAACAGAATTTTCGCAAAAAATAACTCTGTTCTTCAGTTTCATTTTGTATACACTGCAGTTTCAGTTCAACACAACTGCAGTTTCATTCAATATTTATACACTCAAATATATGAAAATATTATTTAATTTTATTTTATATACACTATAGTTTCATTAAAACACAACTACATGATCATTTCAATATAATTACAGCTTCATTGTAAAATATATACTCGAATATGTGAAATGTTATTCAGTTTCATTTTATATATACTGTAGTTTCATTTCATCACAACTACAATATCATTTTGATATAACAGCAGTTTCATTTGATAATATAAAAATAATATGTGAGACAGTATTGATTTAGACATACTGTAGTGTCACTCTGTTATAACGGTAGAAACGACGCTGTTTTAATGCGCGGTGCATAATCAATTATGCACCGCGGGGACGATATAACGCCTGCAAACGATACAGCTTTTAGAATGAAATTGTACCGTAGTCCATAACTACGATCTCATTAAGCCCATAACAGTTGTTGGTTTTTTTTTGTTTTTTTTTTTTTTTTTTTTCACAAAATCTCTCTCACCAGTAATATTTTCTGGCGGTTATTATTCGCGCCATTGGGTTCACCCTCGAGAAGGTTCAGCTATGGCGATGCTGACGACTTCCGTCCCATCTTTCTCCCTTCGTCCTCCCAAAGCAAACCTCTCCACTACTGCCGGCGGTGGCGGTTTTTTTCCCCGTGCTGATAGAGCCGGCGAGT